CTTCTCCCCTTTCAATTAAATTAAAGCTGTTTAAATTTTTAAAAAAACTTGAGAAGGACGCAAAATTAACCAGCTGATTACCTAGTACATAAAGTAATGGATAAAAGGGGAGAGAGTGTGGATGGAAACAAATCTTTTTGATTGAGACAGCTGGAATTTGGCAAAAGCAAAGCCTTGTTAGTTCAGGTTATGAAGAGCTCCAGATTGCCAAGCAGGAGTTGGGGGGGGGTTCTAACCCCAGACTAAGGGTCTTAAAAATTATTGAGGAGAATGTGCTGCCTTTGTAGTGATATCTGCAAATGGTTAGACTTTCTAGTCTTCTTTCCTGCCTCTAAAATCTGTACTGATTAGTGGGGGATGTTAAAGAACCTACACACTTCTAACAACAAGTAGTAAGGGAACCTATATCTCTGTGTTTTGGTCTTGCCTTGAGATTGTTTATACAAGCCCCCTTTTAAACCAGCTTTAATAAAGTAAGTTAACCTCAGGGCCAGTCTGTTAAAATATTGCAAATGCAAGGTTCCCAGCTTTGCACAAAGCTCCATATTTATTGGTTCAATAATTTGGAATACTGTTATTTGAGAGGAATGAATCCTTATTATTTGTCTTTTTAGAAATTACAGCTGACTTGGTCACCTTCTTCAAAGCTTTTCTGCTTAAGTTCCCAATTTTCCAGAAGATACCATTTTTCATTGCTGGTGAGTCATATGGTGGTAAAATGGCTGCTGCATTTGGTAAGGCCCTATATATCTTGATTAATGAAAAGAAGATTCAGTGTAAACTTAATGGGCTTGCTCTTGGAGACTCCTTGATCTCTTTTGAAGACACAGTTCTCTCTTATGGACTCTATCTGTTTTCCTTTTCACTGCTGGATGGTAAAGACTACAATAATGTCCAAGAATTGGCCACGGAAACTTCTAGTGCTGCCAGTAAAGGAGATTTTAAGACAGCTATGGATTTAAGCGACAAGGGAAACAAACTCATCGCTAATGTAACAGACAATGTTGATGTTTATTATGTGTTGCGTCATAATGTATTAGATTCTGTCTCCGCACAATCCCATATCTGCAAGAATACTTTCAGGCTGTCACATGATCAAATGTTTGTGCAATATGTAATAAGAGCACACCATGACCCTCTCTTTGAGCTCATGAATGGGCCAATCAGGAAGAAGCTTGGTATTATACCAGAAAATGTCACATGGGGTGGTCAATCAGATTTGGTGGCAATCAGTCAACGCAATGACATCCCATCATCAGTGTTATCAGATGTGGGCGAACTTGTTAGGGGAGGGGTGAAAGTGATTGTGTATGAAGGTCAGCTTGATATGATTTGTGGAACTGTGGGCCCAGAATTGTGGATTTCAAAACTTCAGTGGGATGGCATGCCAGAATTTTTGAAGGCATCCAGGAAACCATTGTATGCACCATCAAAATTGGAAAAGAGGGAAACTGGAGCTTTCTTGAAGAGCTACAAAAACTTTGGCCTTTACTATATTCTCAATGCTGGTCATATGGTTCCGATAGATGCCCCTGAAATGGCTTTAGAAATGATAAAAAATGTCCTTAACTAAAGTTTTTTCACCAAATGGCAAGAGTATCCTGTATTTTTGCAGAAATTACTTCATATTTTCTTGGAAGACTTTGACCTAAAATAGTCATGAAACTTAATTTAAATGTTTTGAAGCTTAAAAATACTGTATTTACCCGCGTATATAGGCCGCACTTTTTTGACGAAAAACCACCTTGAAAGTTTGCATTGCGGCCTTTACGTGGGTACAAGAGTTCAGAGCTCATTAATATGCAAAGTTTCCCAACACAATAATCAACAAACTTCCTCCGTTATTCACAATTTTATTCAACGCATTATACGAGCTTACGTTAAATTAGTCCATATCTTCCAAGAATTTGGCTTCTCTCGGCTGTAATAAGTTTGTCCCGCTTCCGAACATTGTTTCGTATTTAAGACGTCCACTTGTAATTTGCATGGAATAGCCGTTCCTCCTCGAGGACCTTGTGAGTGAACCCTCTTTCCAGTCACTTGGCAAGAAATCTCCCTACCGTTCTCAATAAAATAACAAGCAATACGGCTGAATTCTGCCGACAGGTGTCCCACGAGTTTATTTCCAGTTGAATCGGTTTCATAAATTGTGGATTTCCAGGTGTTTCCATATACATGATATCCTCGTATTTCACTTTTCATTTCATAGTTGCAAGTAGTTCCACCCATTTTCTGGTTACTTTTGGCCCGTACGACAGCTGAATCTTTGAATCACAAACAACGCGAGCGATATCCTCGATAACATTTGCTCTATTCGCTTTGCATAGAGAAGGGGTTCATTTTTTTTTNGGGAAACCGAGAAGCTGCACGCCAATATGGAGTATACAAGAAGAACATACGAAGATGGAAGCATGTAAATATTTTCTACGAACATTTCCACTCAAGAAGACGGTTTTCTTTCTTAGAGATGGTGTTTTGTTGTCGAATGAGAAATTAAAAAAGGAAAGAGTTTTCTCAACTTTTTGGCTTGATTGTGCTTTGTTACTGGAAAATTTTTTTCTCTCTGAGATCAGGTCAATAGTTCATAGTGCGGCCTATACGCGGGTAAATGCGGTAGACTTCGATGTTGTTAAAAAACATTTTTCACTTTTTTTTCGAAAATATGTACACAAAGGGAGAGTTTTTATTAGGGATATCAGATTTGAGCCCTTAGAGAGGTATGTAAATTTAACTTCCAAAACTATTAACTGATTTATGGATTTTGAGAAGGTTTTCAGTTATTTTGTTCTTTTAGAAATGCTTAGATGAAATATTAACAAAGATTTAGTAATACATAGACAGGTAAAAACGAACGATATAATATCCCGACGTTTCGGCGACTTCATGACGCCATTATCAAGGGTACGAATGAAAATAAAATTCACAATTAGTTGTAACTCTTGAACTCGCATTTGTTAATTTTATTTTCATTCGTCGCCGAAACGTCGGCTTAGATGAAAGTGGAAACTAATCTTCCAAAAATTTCCTTATGAAAAGTTTGAACTGATTTTTACAACCTCATAGCCAGTCTAAGGGTATTGATTAAGGGATTTGCAATGGTAGGTAGTAAGGTAGTATTATGTTGTTCCACTCTTAATTAAAACCATTTATCAGATTTTTTTTAACTAGCAGAATAGGGAAAAGAGAAGTTTGCCCTGCTTGTTACGTTCATTGAGTGGTCTTCCAACTTTGTCGCAATACTGAGGCCGTTGAATTTACCCTTAATTGAGTGCTTCACATTTTCTTTGTGAACTCAGCTATCGATGACTTTAGATTGTTGTTAAATGTGATCCAGAATTTTTTGTTTTATTTTACTTTAAAGGCAGAAATTTGTAAGACTTGTAGAAGTTATTTTAGAAAGTAAATTAGTGACGATAGCGAGGAAACTTGTTAACGGACATAATTTAAGCGCGCAATAACATGTAATGTAAGAGCGTTTGAACTTCATCTGCATGATCGTGTGTCAAGACATTAACGGGTTTACTATGACAAAAATAATAGTCGGAAATTTTCTTTATGTAAAGATGACGTAGGTTGAGATACTCTGTTGTTAGTGGAAGGGCGAAGTGTCACCAAAGCGGTTTTGGAGTGATTCCTCAAGGTGCCGGCTTAAGACCCACGATAGAAGATAGAAACTTCTACTTGGAGGAGCAAATTGTCTCGTGTAATTTTTAAAGCCAAGTAGAAACGTTTTAGAAGAAAATCATTCCGTAATAAATTCTGCTCTAATTAACATACACTAATACCGAGTGAATTATTCATTAATCGAACAAAGCCGATGCATTTGAATTTGCTCACTTTCACGTTAGTATACTTCCATTCTTGAAACAAATGACTGTAAAGAGAAATGTCCTTAACGATCAAGTAACTTTAGACGACAAAAAAATCGTAATTTCATCATGCTGTACGAAACATTTCGTGGTTTGTTTTCTTCAACCAGTGCGCTTTTTTATTTGGCATTTTTGTCAAATATAAAACATTCGCTAACCTTTCCATAGGCCTGTTGTGTTCTGTGTTTTGTGGAAACAAAAACTCTCCAAGCGGCAAAATTTTAAAATCAACATGGCTGACACGAACACCGCTAAGTAAAATAATCATAATCGCCATGTCAATCTGTCACCATGGCATCTAACGGGGTGCGTTAATAGCGTTAATAATTCAGCGTTTTTGGGCCATTTCAAGTTTGATACACCTGCAAACGCCAGAGGCGAAGTTCTTTTCGAGATCGATACGAAAACTTGCAGCAGCACGGACTTAAAATAATGCTTCTACTACTTTACTTTGTGGCAATTTCGTATATATGTGAGGTAAGATGTGTTCTATTTTTTTTATAACGATTAAATATTCCTGTTGATCTTTAAGGACCGCGCTGGCGAAATTGTTTTCTTTTAAAATCCTCTAGTATGCTAGGCAGTAAATGCGCTCGTATCAGCATTTCAACATTTTCTCGGCAATTCGCTTCTAGGACTCTGGCATAACGTAGAGGTCTGCGCATTGATGTTTTACTTTCTGTAGAGTGTCTTTATCACAGACTTAGGTTAGCTGAAATTTTCGGTTAGATTATCAGTAGTGGCAAATATTAGGATAACATGTTCGAAGCTCTCACCGCCTTGAAAAATTAATACTAAACTTCTTATAACAGTTTACCACACTCCGTCTCAAAATTGTTAGAGGATAAAATTTCTGGGGTTCCTGCTTGCAGCTCATATGAGTATATCGTTAAAGAAAAAAGAGAAAAACTGAGGTTCTCAATTAAGTTCAAAGTGAATATAAGAACTAACCTGTTCCTAAAAACGGTTCTGTTAATCTTATGCGACAGATGCACTTAAACTTGACAAAGTCGAATTTTTAGATATTGTTTAGCTCAGGTTAAGAAGCTGTCAATAGAAGATCGCCTTGTATTGGAAAGATTGGCGTCACATTTACCAGCCAGATCGGATCACAAAATTTTATTGTGAAAATAGCTTTTTTGACGAAAAGGTTGAAGTATTATCAATTTTTCGCAGTTGCTCGTGAGTGTGATACGTTTATTGTTTTTTTTTGCTGACCTTAATATTTCAAGACAAACCATTCTGTGTAGGTGCTTAGTAAAAGAAAGTGTCCTTAGAAATTAGCTGTTGTGAGATATCACTTTTTTACTGTGAAACTATTTTTCCTCTGGTTTTCGTTGTTCCTCTGTTTCCGGCGAAAATGGGAAAAAAGGGAATTTATTTCGATTTCGCTCAAGTTATTTAAAAACTATCACAAACGGCAACTTTACATCGTGTTGTCTTCATTTGGAACCAAAAATGTTTGATGTTTTTTAACTTTTGTCGCAGAAATTCAATTCTGGAAACCATTATCCTCATTAAATATGCAAACATCTCTAAAAATTTTAATTTAGGCAAGTTTTACAGATCAGCTGCACTCAACTATTTGCAAAAGTATATCGCAGTCTTTGGACTTAATTATAGGATTAAGAAACTCTTTCAATGTCAGTTGAATTTGTGTCGCCCCTCCAAAGTTCCCAAAGAGCGTATTGAGAAGACAACCAAATCAGTACATCTTAATAATTCATGAAAGGTAGTCTTAAACTTTCAAGTTTCGCATTGAGCTCTTTGGAAGTCGATATACTATGATTATCCGCGCAAGGAACTTGAAAAGTAAGCAGGTTTGATAAAATTTGGCAGCGAAAAAAAGCATTTCATTCCATGAAAGCACCGCAGACATAAGCAGAACACAAATTAACATATTTCGCTAATACGTATGATGCACGATTCTTCGCAGTAGATAGCGCTATTTATGCAATAGCGAAAATCAGACCTGAAAAAAATCAGGCCTGTACGGGATTCGAACCACTGACCTCTGCGATACTAGTGCAGCGCTCTACCGATTGAGCTAACAAGCCAACTGGGAGCAGGCCGTTAAGTTGATTCGTAATAAACCCGTGATGATAAATCAGATACAATGAATATATGAAGTTCATATATTTTGAACTGCGGTATTAAATACGTATGATGCACGATCCTTCGCAGTAGATAGCGCTATTTATGCAATAGCGAAAATCAGACCTGAAAAAAATCAGGCCTGTACGGGATTCGAACCACTGACCTCTGCGATACTAGTGCAGCGCTCTACCGATTGAGCTAACAAGCCAACTGGGAGCAGGCCGTTAAGTTGATTCGTAATAAACCCGTGATGATAAATCAGATACAATGAATATATGAAGTTCATATATTTTGAACTGCGGTATTAAATACGTATGATGCACGATCCTTCGCAGTAGATAGCGCTATTTATGCAATAGCGAAAATCAGACCTGAAAAAAATCAGGCCTGTACGGGATTCGAACCACTGACCTCTGCGATACTAGTGCAGCGCTCTACCAATTGAGCTAACAAGCCAACTGGGAGCAGGCCGTTAAGTTGATTCGTAATAAACCCGTGATGATAAATCAGATACAATGAATATATGAAGTTCATATATTTTGAACTGCGGTATTAAATACGTATGATGCACGATCCTTCGCAGTAGATAGCGCTATTTATGCAATAGCGAAAATCAGACCTGAAAAAAATCAGGCCTGTACGGGATTCGAACCACTGACCTCTGCGATACTAGTGCAGCGCTCTACCAATTGAGCTAACAAGCCAACTGGGAGCAGGCCGTTAAGTTGATTCGTAATAAACCCGTGATGATAAATCAGATACAATGAACATATGAAGTTCATATATTTTGAACTGCGGTATTAAATACGTATGATGCACGATCCTTCGCAGTAGATAGCGCTATTTATGCAATAGCGAAAATCAGACCTGAAAAAAATCAGGCCTGTACGGGATTCGAACCACTGACCTCTGCGATACTAGTGCAGCGCTCTACCAATTGAGCTAACAAGCCAACTGGGAGCAGGCCGTTAAGTTGATTCGTAATAAACCCGTGATGATAAATCAGATACAATGAATATATGAAGTTCATATATTTTGAACTGCGGTATTAAATACGTATGATGCACGATCCTTCGCAGTAGATAGCGCTATTTATGCAATAGCGAAAATCAGACCTGAAAAAAATCAGGCCTGTACGGGATTCGAACCACTGACCTCTGCGATACTAGTGCAGCGCTCTACCAATTGAGCTAACAAGCCAACTGGGAGCAGGCCGTTAAGTTGATTCGTAATAAACCCGTGATGATAAATCAGATACAATGAACATATGAAGTTCATATATTTTGAACTGCGGTATTAAATACGTATGATGCACGATCCTTCGCAGTAGATAGCGCTATTTATGCAATAGCGAAAATCAGACCTGAAAAAAATCAGGCCTGTACGGGATTCGAACCACTGACCTCTGCGATACTAGTGCAGCGCTCTACCAATTGAGCTAACAAGCCAACTGGGAGCAGGCCGTTAAGTTGATTCGTAATAAACCCGTGATGATAAATCAGATACAATGAA